ACTGTAAACATCTTTGCCTTTGGATCAAAATAGAAAATGCTTTTAATTTCAAGCTAGCCTACCTGCTGTACCAAAAGTGAAGAAAGAGGTTAATCCTTAGAAGGATGTTTCTATACAGTCAGATGGGTGCTTGATCAAAGGAATTACATCCTGGCAAGATACATCAATTATCTGCCAGTTTGTTAAGTGAAGGTGTATATTAACCACACATTATGCTAGGATATATATGGATAAATATGATCTGTGCTGCATATTTGTAATCTTCCAGGTGGAATTTGGAAACTTTTGGTACTAGAACAACTGCTTTTTCTCCTGACATGGATGCAACAGAGCAATGATTAGAGGAAGATGGGGATCTGCTAGTTGAAGAGATTTGTGCATGTTTTCCTCTGTGAGGATCCCTCTTTTCAGAATTCACTTCCTCATTTATCAGTATGGTCACTGAATCACAGAATGGCTGAGACTGGAAGAGACCGCCGGTGGTCATCTAGTCCAACCTCCCTGCTTGAGCAAGCAGGGTCACCTACAGCAGATTGCTCAGGATTGTGAGGTGGCTCTTAAATATTTCCAGAGAAGGAGACTCCACAACCTCTCTGGGCAACCACTTGATTAAATGAACACTTTATTCTTCAAGTCATGCTACAAATCTAGTACTATGCCCTGAATCCTGTAACTAAAAAAATGAGGAGTGGAAAAATAACCTCATCTGCTTCTATTTTTTCACAGTGAATGACTGCTCTGGTGCAATTCTTCTGTCCCATATTTGATAAATAAGAATGGTGAAATCTAGAGTCTCTGCATAGATGTTAGCACCCACAGTTACAGAAGAATTCATCTTGGGCATTAATATTTACTTCTCTTTAAGCTTACAGTTGAAAATACGAGGCATGCCTGCTTCACAGATATAGGGATTCTGCATGTAGTTCTAAACAGGAAGTCCAGTTTAGAAAAATACTGTTATAATGAAAGGTTGCTGATGCAAAATCAGCTGAAAATGAATGTTCCTACCCATGCATAGACTTGGTATCAATACACAAGCACACATAAATAGCAAGTAAAAAACAAATAAACTTCATAGATTCTGCATGACTGACTCACACTGAGTTCAGTTAGACTCAGTGGAAGACTGGATTTCCCATATGTGAATTCAAATTTAAGAGCCGGTACCTAAAGGACCAGCTACACATGAATACCTGAGCGAATGAAAGTGAAACTGGGAACACATTTGTAAGAATAATGATGTTCTTATAAATAGTTATGAACAAAAAATGATTATTTAATGAGAACAAAAGCAGTACGTAATTTGGTTTGTTGTAACAAAACTATGTCAACTATAAATGTCCTTTGTGATTTTAATGTTTATTCAGCTTCTATGTTTTTGTTAGATTTCATGAAAGCAATGTTATATCATTGCAAAGTTGTCAAAATGGAATTCCTTTTAAAAATAAAAGGGTACATTTTGCTCTTCCAGAAAAAAATTATGCTATTTGGTTATAGCTAGGAGGGGTGGTTGCAAAAAAAATAGAACAGTGTCCAGTGAAAATAGTGTAATTTGTTTTCCTGTCTTTTATAGCCACAGGTTTTCTGGCACAACAGGCCATCTAATTCACTTTGCTGCTTACTGTTTATTTCTTTACTTGTACCGATCTAATGAAGGTAGAAAATTACTCCTATTCTCCTTTTTGAATTTTTGTTTTATTTCTGTAGTCTTTTTACATATTAGTCATATTACTAATTTTTACACATTGCTTATATTAGTCATATACTTCCAAATGTGAGTGCCACTGCAGCCATTGCACACCCTTTGGCAGTGCTGTCATAAATGTATCGCTTAGCTATACTATTCTGTCAGATTCTACAGACCTTTGGGGGGGAAAAAAAAGCACCTTCTTGACTTCTGAGGGCTCCAAGTAATATGCTTTGGGCCTGCTTTTGGCTCCTCTGAATAGAGAGATCCACACAGGGATATTCTTGTCTCATTGACTTCAGTGATAGGCTGTATAAAAAGGCTGTTTTACCTACCCAGGGAGTGAGCCATCCTAACAATGGCCATGGTTCACAGGGTACTCACAAGATAAGAATGTTCTTGAATACTGTGTTGATTTAGGTCAGGACAGGATATTTTTCCTTTATATGGTTAGAATACTGCAAAGGCTTGAATCATCTTTGTAGTGATATCTGAAACTAGTGTTAATTTCCAGTACTACAAGTACAAATTTAAGGTGCATAAAGAAAACTCAGTTAAAGCTTGAATGCGGTGTCAAGCTCAGTCATATTTATGGTGATATTATTGCATATCAGTCCTGTTTTCTGAGGCAGATGTAAAGCATTTCTGATTTTCAAAATAGTAAATACAATACCTGCTAATTCAGGCACTGAAAGGATTTAGAAATTAATGTAATTATTTGTAGCAGTTTTCAAAAGCCATAGTTCGATGTCTTGGTACTGCCAAAAGGGCTTCAGTGCCCTTCCCCATCTCACCCACTCATTCTTCATGTTCCTTCTGTGATATGGTAATGCTAAAAGCAACCTAGAAAAAATAAATTGTTTTTCACCAGTCAGTTCTCAGTTCTGGATCACTTCATTAGGCTAGTTTTGGCAAAAGGGAAAGCAGGGGGCAGAGCAAAGAGAGCAGACCCCACTGCGTTCTATCACAACAGATTTATGCTAGACTGGCTTGATAGTGAAAATAGAGGAAGAAATTTATACATGCACACTCTTCTCAGTTCTTTCCTATTTTAAGGCTAGGTCAAGCTTCCATTGGAGTCTGTGCTTGCTTTGTCCCTTGAATGTTGGATGAAGCAGTTTTCAGTTCTTAAATTTTATTATCTGAGTCCACAGCTGTAGTTGTGGGTGTGAATTTTATATGCCTCCCTTTTAGGCAATATCAGCTGCTTCCTAATCCTTCTGCTCCTATGATCCAGCAATTTATTTTCTTCCTGTTTCACAAATGGAAATACAACCCAGGGAGACTAATTGGTTTGCTAAAGTTCCCAGAAGCAAAGCAGAGAAATTAAATCTAGTTTTACCAAGTCCACAGCTAAGCTAATACCCTCACTTGTGAATCCAGCTCATACCTAGATGGGGCCTGTTTACTTATCCTTGATTGTCACTCTTGGTCATTCCACAAACATTTGCCCACTGACACAATTTCAAGGCACATAAGCAGAAACCTCTAGGAGTCACTGACTGAGATTACTAACACATTATAGGGTAGATTTCTTAAAGTTGACCTCAATGTCCCTGTCTTGTTTAATCCTGCCAGAATTGTGCCTGTGTTTAAACTCAAAGCCTATGTTTCAGGCTAAATGTAATTTGAATTCTGAGTTGCTTCACTGGCTTTTCTATGCTGCTATTAAGTGTATGGGGCCTGAGAAGACAGCTGTATCTTGGTAGTGAAGTGTTAAATGCAGCTTAGTCTAGTTATGTCACAGACAATTAGAGTCTCTACAAGTTGAGGTCTACATTTGAAAATCTGTAGGGAAATGTAACAAAGGAATAACAAATTATTACTCTCTAATTTTCAACTGGTAATAATTTACGCAACTATCTGAAGTATTGCACGCACATCTATAAAATACACCTGCTCACACATATGTACTTGCACTATGTTTTCTACACAGAAGAAACCCTCCTTAAACTCATCTTTTCTGTATAATAATAAACTTGTTTTTATTTGAACTTTCAGTCGACGCTGGCGTCGCTGGAATCGATTTAATCGGAGAAAATGTAGAGCTGCAGTAAAATCTGTTACATTTTATTGGCTCGTTATTGTCCTGGTCTTTCTGAACACATTAACTATCTCATCGGAGCATTATAATCAACCTGACTGGCTGACCCAGATCCAAGGTACATTTAAAAATTACTTGTCCTGTTCTTGACTATGAGTATTTGCATTCTATCAGTAGCTACTGTTGTACTTTGCCATTTTGTTGTTATTTGCTGTCCTGAAAGACACTCAGCCCAGCCAAAGGGAGATACAAGAAATGACTGAATGTATTTGATTTCCACAACTGTAACACAGCTTAATGGCATACCAGCTAAAACCTGACAATACTGAATTGTAAATACCTGTACTTCTATTGTTAAACCATGCTTGAAAGTTGAGAAAGCAAATAGTTACTGGCACAGCAGAATATGCTGTGGGCTCTGTTTAAGTTACGGTGTGGACTCAAGCTGTGAGTTGAGCAGCCATGAATTGCACAGTGGATTGGAAAGATGAATTAGTTCATAAGTGGCAGGAAGCTTCACATCCTTGTGTAGCTTTTGCCATTTAGGCATCAAATACAGTCCAACTTTAAAAAAAACAGCACTTCCTTTAACGAAAGGCTGTGAACTAGTATAGAAATCATAGTACAAATAAGTGAAAACACAAATGGAATCTATGAAACAATTCAGGAATGTCTTTTTGTTTTTTTCTTAATATTTTGTTTCAGATATCGCAAATAAAGTTCTTCTGGCTTTATTCACCTGTGAAATGTTAGTAAAGATGTACAGCTTGGGCCTACAGGCTTATTTTGTTTCTCTTTTTAACCGCTTTGATTGCTTCGTTGTTTGTGGTGGCATTGTTGAAACCATTTTGGTGGAGTTGGAAATTATGTCACCCCTTGGAATTTCAGTGTTTCGCTGTGTTCGTCTCCTGCGTATTTTTAAAGTAACAAGGTAAGATTAATACTGATAACTTTAGGGATAGCTGAAGGGTGGTCAGCAATTCTTTTGTAATACTTCACCATGCTCTGCTCTTTTACTGGTTTGTTTGGGTTTTTTTTTGGTGTGTGTTAACACACGCATTTTAATTTATAGGCACTGGGCATCCCTGAGCAACTTGGTAGCATCCTTGTTAAACTCAATGAAGTCCATTGCTTCACTGTTGCTTCTGCTTTTCCTCTTCATCATAATCTTCTCGTTGCTTGGAATGCAGCTGTTTGGAGGCAAATTTAATTTTGATGAAACTCAAACAAAACGGAGCACCTTCGATAATTTTCCACAAGCTCTTTTAACTGTATTCCAGGTAACTTTCTTTCAACCTGTATGAAACATTTTACCTTTGACGATCAGCAAAACTGTTTAAGTGATCATGTTGCCTGAAAATAAAATCACAAATACTATTTATCCAGTTTACTTTCAGTAGCATTCTGCTCATTTAATTCAGTACTCTGGTAGCTCTGCACCATTTGTACCATTTGTTTCATGTGTTACTTGATCTATGTATGCAACATAGCTGTCATATTACTTCACAAAATTAAATCTCCTTTGTCCATCAAATACAAGACTAGAAAAAGAGGTGGGTTATTATTTTTATTTTAATCAAATTGTTTTCTTTAACTTTATCAGCTGTATAAAAGTTCAGCTATTCCCAAGCAGGAAAAAATGAGAAACACTGTAAGAGTGCATATTTGCATATGAGCCATATCACTCATTATAATATAAAAGCAAGTTTTAATTTCTTTAAGGAGACACTGTCAGGTTTATTAAAATTTAAAATAACTTGTCTGTTCTTTGTGGAAAAGGGCCATTCTTGCAGTTTACTTTTCATTATTTTATGATGCTTTTTTTTATTTTTCCCAATTTGGATACTGGAATTAGGCTAATTGTTTTCATCTTTCTAGCCATTTTCCCCATTCAGCTTTGCACATTACCACAATGTTTTCAGACATTATAGGTGGCTGTTTAAAGCTGACCCTGGAAGACTCAATTTAGTGTCAAGTTCCTATCTCTTTGGTAGAGGTTTCATTTGTTGGCTGCTCAGAGAAAGCAAAAAAATTAAAAATCTTTCCACATAATTTTAAAATAAGGAGATCTTAATGAGAAACTCCCTTAAGAGGAAAAGTGTCCACATTTTGACCCGACATTGCTCCTTTAAATATTAAGACTGTACTTTCAAACACAACTGAGTTGGATTTTATTTAGAATTTAGGCTGCCTCATTTTCAAAGGCATGAGGCTTCCTTCAGTTTCAGAATAAACTCAGGACCAACCAACCTGTTGGGTGCTCAACAGCTATGCAAATCAGCTTGATAAATTTAGCTCTTCAAAACTGGATTTCAGAATTTGGCAGGCATATTATTTTCTTGAACAACCACTTAGTTACTTTGAAAGAGAGTCAATATTACATATTTTATGACGATTGACCTGGTAATTTTAAGAAGTTACTTAGAAGTGCCCCTGTATCCTGCTTTGTAATACGCAGAATTTTTGTTGTACAGAAAAAATGGAGTTGCCTCATTGTAAATTATCCTTTCAACTAATCAACAGATTTCTGTAAGATTCTTCTAGAGTTCAGTGAAATTATGTAAAACAATAGCTAATAAGAGAGTAATGTAATTCTTCCACAGCATTGAGCTCCATTCAGTTTAAAATTGCTTCCATTTCAAAAACTATGTATATTAGTAGTGTGTGCGGTATGTGTATTAAATAATTTATGATGCAAAGGCAGCCAGTCCCCATAAAAACTGAAACTGGATAGACCAATTTGCAGGACTAACAAATGGCATATACTAGAAAAAAAACCCCACACTTTGGCCACTATTTCAAAAAAAAAAGAGAACATTAAAACATATATTAATTTGATTTTTCAACAGTAGTGAACATTTGCAGGCATTACTACATATGTGGCATTCCTGAAAATCAAGGCTCTAACTTTTGCATGCTAAAATCAATAAAGTTATAGGCTTCAATTTTTATTATTTTTGCTTTTTAAGTTAAGTGATGTGAATGCATAGCATAGAATAAAAGCTAGTACAGTTAAATCCAAGCTTTCAGGAGATGCTTAGATGGGGCTTTGAGCAACCTGGTCTACTGGAAGGTGTCCCTTCCCATGGTAGGGGAGCTGGAACTAGATGATCTGTAATGTCCCTTCCAATCCAAGCCATTCTATGATATGCTTATTTAAATGGAAATTTTAAAACAGTGCTTGAAAAGGTTATGGTATTGCTTTCTGTATACAGAAGGTTAGCCTTATTGTGAGCTGTGGTCAAAGGAAACTTATTTCTCTGTTGCTCATTTTGATAATGAGTTACTAATAATATATCTGCTTCTTAGATTCTAACAGGTGAAGACTGGAATGCTGTTATGTATGACGGCATAATGGCTTATGGTGGCCCATCATCATCAGGCATGATAGTCTGTATATATTTCATTATCCTCTTCATCTGTGGTAACTGTATCCTTTGCACTCAAAAACCTACAAATGAGGCTGTGTGCCACAGACATAAGCAAAATTATTTTAGGAGGAAGTAAATTGCAGTGGACATGCAAATGCTTCCTGAGTTCACCAAAACCTTTATACAGGCTTTGTAAAATTATTGCCTAACGAGCAAGACTGCAGTGATCTCTGAGTCTATCTCCAGCCACCACAATGGCAGAAACCAGAGCTATTTCTTTTTACTTCCTCCAGTGGGAAGGCAGCCTTATTCTACTTGCTTGTCTCTATTTGATTTCTTTGCCTCTGAAATGCGTGGAATGTAGTCTGATCTCAGTGTCAGTAATTTCCTGATCCTATTTCTGACGCTTGATATAGCCCTCTTAATTCTGATGTAAACTGACAGTGGAGCCAGTGATTCACTGTATAGTGCAGGGACCAGATGAGAGAAATGTGCATGGAGAAATGTTGAGTCAGTTAGGATTAAGTCTGCCAAAACATTCCTTTTTCTTGCCTTCAGTGTACTGGAAATGCTTCCTTGGTCCCATATGGCGACAGAAACTAGTGTCATTCCGAGAAGTTGTAAAAGGTTGTGAGGAGATAAAAGGGCAAACCCATTCTGTTTTCTGTATTATACAGTACTTATATCAAGTTTGGTACTTAACTGATATGGACTGAGGTACAGATTTTTATATAGATTGTTGTAGACCAGAAGACAGTGTATTATAAAAATGAATTTTCAAAATGCCTGAACAGTCTTCACTTTTAATAGACAAGACTTCATATTTGAAGCTTGCTCAGCCTAGCATAAAGGTGGATTTCACTGACAAAAACAAATGTCAAGTATTCTGCTATTTTAAAATCAGGATCTCTGCTCATTTTACACCCAGTATTAATCTAGTCCATTAAATGAGTGTTATTTGCTCTGCGCTTAAGCATCACAAACCTCTATGCTGTAGGTTGGTAATACGCGTTTTATATCTTTCACATTGTCAGTGTTTCTGCTAATAAAAACCAAACAAATATAGTAAAGCTTAATGTCCTTAAAATGATTTGAAATAGATATCTTGCTAAATGTCTTCTTGGCCATTGCTGTGGATAACTTGGCAGATGCTGAAAGTCTAAATACAGCTCAGAAAGAAGAAGCTGAAGAAAAGGAAAGGAAAAAGAATGCAAGGTAAAATAGCATGGGCTTGTTGAATAAGCAGGAGAGGGAAGGAGGACAGTACTGAATTCCTTCATAAGGATTTTTTTACTTTATATTAATGTCTTTACTTTCTTCAAAATTTATTTGGCTCAGGAAAATATTGAAAAGGTTTACCTAGACTTTGAAATAACACAAAATTAATATGATTTTAGATAAAAGTTAGGTAGTAATTAGGAAAATAGAGTGAATTAAGGACACAGTGATAAGCCAACTGATATTTAAACATTGCAACAGCAAGATTTATTGTGCAATTACAAAAAGAATGTATCTGTTGTTGCCAGTGCACAACTCCCTGTGGAATCAGTTCTCTAAGCCTTATATAGACAAGAAGAAAACCTTCCTTTGAAATCAGTGCAGGCCTATTGAAGTCAATGCCAGTTGTTTGTATGAGTCCAAGGGCACAGTTTATCCCTCTAGAAAGGAGTAATGATCATGTGTTGAATTTTTTAGGGATTAGCTTCTGGAATTGTATTCAAAATTATAATCTTTTTAATGGATCATTGCATTCAAATGCGATTGATTTTTATTGCTCTGGCACCTGCAGCTGTGTAAATCATTTTGAATATCTAACTGTGGTTTTAGGTATGTTGTCTTAACTGCTCATCAAATGAGTCTATTTCACTCAAAATCTTTTGTCTTTACATGTTGTGCTTTGTAATTGTTATTGTATTGTTTTGTAGAAAAGAGAGTCTGGAAAATAAAAAAAGTGAGAAGTCAGAAGGTGACCAGAAGAACCCCAAGGATAGTAAGGTGTTTATTCTAAAAATTGTGGGTTTTTTTAAGCTGTTTTACACCTAGGGAGCATTTCAAGAATGTTGGGCATTGTACAGTTTCCTTTATGAACCCATCCTCCCTATATTTTTTATGGGCTTTGCATCCTCACAGAATGTCTTAATCCAGAAAATCCTTTTTGTTTCAGGATATTCTGAGAAGGGAATCTCTTAGAGCATGTAATAGTTAATGTTAGAAAAATCTGGTGTTATTTTAGGATCCCTGTAGGTATTTTGCCTGATAAATCCAACGGAAGAGATTAATGGATGCTAAACTCTTAGTAGAATGTTCAAACATTCTTGGTAATTTTTACTAGAGCCTCTTGGTTATAATCTCATTGTGACCTACACAGCCAGAAGAATGTGGATACTACAGTAAAATAATCTTTTAAAAACATGTATTGAACTGTCAGCTCTCCTATGTTCTTAGAGTTACCCTGTTTCAGAAAACTCTAAGTGTAGGTGTCACTTTCCTTACTTTCCACTATTTAGTTTGCTTTCTATTGATTTTTTTATCCAAGGTACATGTAAATTTGTTTTTCTTCTTGTACATTCCTTTCATTGCTATAGGTGACAATTACTGAATATGGAGAAGGAGAAGATGAGGATAAAGATCCCTATCCACCCTGTGATGTACCAGGTATGTGAATACCAGTCAGAAGACAAACACATTTAAGTTTATATGTTAAAATATCCTAAACTTGCTCCTGCTGAACACCGAATCAGTCTTTTGAAGCTGGTGAAGTTGCGCTCTGTTATCAGTGAATAAATTGGCCTGCATGCTGCTAAGTATCATCTTTCCCTGCAGCTTCCTAGACAGTCCAAACAGCATATGAGAGCTAATACTGTGAGTCTAAAGACTGCTGTGGTAACACTATCTAGATGTGAGAGTAAATTCTAAACTTTTCTGAAACATTTGATGAAAAAGGACATTCCAGGGCTGCTCTCTTGGGTCAATTTTGTCTTA